AAAAAACCTCAGGTGTGAGTTTTGATTCCACCGACGATAGACAAAAACGCCGCCGCACTCCGGTGTAAGACGAAGATGATTGTAAGTTAACTCAAATTGCAAATTTGATTCTTTTAGTTTTTGAATTTGTCTAGTCCAAGTCCTAGTTTCTATGAAGTTGTTAGGGTTATTTTTTATTATAGTCAAGTCAATTAGGTAGGTTGCTATTTTTATGGCTTATGGAGTAGTTGCCTCTTATGTAGAATTAGTTGAGTAGTCTCTTTTTAGACTTAGAGTGTGTATAAATATATAGCATCATTAAATAAAACCTACACTTCCCCACTTTCTCATTTCTCTCTCAATAATAAGAACTACAGTGGTATCATAGCCTTAAATTCTTAAGGGATCTGTGAGTGAGGATTAGTGAAATATTCTCGAGAGAAACTAAGTGATACACCTGTGAGAGTTTTGTCCAATGGAGTTAAGATCAAACAATCTTTCTTCACTGGCTCCACCTGTGTTTGATGGTGAAAACTATCAAGCATGAGCAATCAGAATACAAGTCTACATGGAGGGTTGTGATTATTGGGAAGCAATTAAGATTATGAAATTGCTCCACTTCCTGATAATCCAGCAACACATCAAATCAAGACTCACAAGGAGAGGGTCACCAGGAAGGCAAAGGCTCGAGCTTACCTATATGCAGTTGTATCTCCCGCCATATTCAACATAATTATGGCATTGAAGTCAGCAAAGGAGATCTGGGAATTCCTCAAAAGTGAGTATGAAGGTGATGAGAGGATTAAAGGCATGAAGGTGTTGAACTTGGTGAGGCAATTCGAGAGAATGCAGATGAAGGATTTTGAGTCCATCAAAGAGTACTCAGACAAGTTGATCGAGATTGCTAATAAGTAAGAGCATTAGGAACCGACCTATCTAATAATAGATTGGTTCATAAGATTCTGGTTTTAGTACCTGAGAGATATGAAGCAACCATTGCTTCCATAGAGAATACTAAAGACCTCTCCAAACTCAAAGTGATAGAAGTTTTTAGTGCTTTGCAAGCACAGGAGCAGAGGAGGTTGGTGAGGTAAGAAGGAAGCATTGAGGGGGCACTGAAAGCTAAAATGCAGCAGGGAAAAGGTGGAAGAGAGAAGAAATGGAAAAGGAAGAAGGCAAGTGGCAGCAGTAGAATCTGCTGCAAAGGATATTGGTAGTGCATGCAAGCACTGCGAGAAGCACAACCATCCACACTTCATATGCTAGAGAAGGCCAGATGTGAAGTGTAGAAGGTGTAATTTATTGGGACACATTGAACGATTTTGTAAAGGTGCCAAGACTCAACAACAAAGAGGAGCACATGTTGCAGTACAGCAAGAAGAAGATCAACTCTTTGTGGCTACCTGTTTCTCATCAACCAATCAATGTGATGGTTGGTTGGTTGATAGTGGGTGTACAAATCATATGACAAGTGACAAAGAGTTGTTCAAGGACCTTGACAAGTCATTAAAGTCAAAGGTGAAGATAGGAAATGGTGAGTATCTAGAAGTGAAAGGGAAGGACACAGTGTCAATAGAGAGCTGTGCTGGAACCAAGTTGATTGAAGTGTTGTTTGTTCCTGAGATTGATCAAAACCTGTTAAGTGTTGGTTAACTAGTAGATAAGGGATTTAAAGTGTTGTTTGAAGATGGGAAGTGCCTCATTTCTGATTTCAGTGGGAATGAGTTGTTCAAAATAAAGATGCAACACAAGAGCTTTTGATTAGATCCATTCGAGAAAGAGCAAATAGCTTTCAAGTGTCAAGTGAATGACACTGAGTTATGGCACAAGAGGTTGGAGCATTTTCATCATAAGGGGTTGCAGTATTTGCAGAAAAATGAGATGGCAATAGGAGTACCAGTTCTAGAGGAGCTGAAAATAAACTACAGAGCTTGTCTGACAGGGAAGCGAACGAGATTGCCATTCAAGAAGTCAGTTTGGAAAGCAACCGAGAAGCTACAGCTCATCTACATTGATTTGTGTGGACCTCAACCAACTCTCTCACTGAATGTAGCAGGTATTTCAATATCTTTATTTATGATTATACTCGAATGTGTTGGATATATATCATGAAGCAGAAATCTGAAGCAGTTGGAGTGTTTCTAAAGTTTAAAAGATGGGTTAAGAATCAAAGTGGCTGTAAGATTCAAGTGGTGAGAACCGACAATGAGACTGAATATACATCACAAAGGTTTAATTCCTTCTGTGAAGAAGCATGGATAGAACATCAACTCACTGCTCCATATTCTCCACAACAAAATGGAGTTAGTGAAAGGAAGAACAGGTGTATTATGGAGATGACATGATGCTTGTTGCATGAGAAGATTTTGTCAAAGGAGTTTTGGGCTGAAGCAGCAAACACATCAGTCTTTCTATTGAATAGACTACCTACAAGGGTCTTGGAGAAGAAGACACCCTATGAAGCTTGGTTTGATACTAAACCAAAATTGACAAATTTGAAGGTGTTCAGTTGTTTGTGTTTTTTTCATGTTCCACAGGTGAAGAGAGACAAGTTGAGTGAGAAGGCAGAACCAGGAATCTTTGTAGGCTATAACATGGTGTCCAAAGCCTACAAGATCTATCAACCTCACACAAAGAAGATGGTGATTAGTAGAGACGTTCAATTTTTGGAAGATGAGGAGTGAAACTGGACAGAAGAAGCAGAGGTGAAGCAACAAGAAGTCTCTCTGGATCCTGATGAACTAGTTGATGATGCACCAGTGAGAGGGACTAGACTACTGACTGAGATGTATGAAAAAAGCAGAGTAGCTGTGTTGGAGCCTGCAGGGTTTGAAAAAGCTCAAAAAGATCAAAAGTGGATGGAGGCAATGAAGAAGGAGTTGAGAATGATAGAGAAGAACAAGACATGGGAGCTAGTGGAGAAGCCTACTGACAGAAAGTTGATTGGAGTCAAATGGGTTTTCAAGACTAAATTAAATCTAGATGGCTCTGTGAACAAGCTCAAGGCCAGGTTAGTAGTGAAAGGGTATGCATAAGTCTGGGGAGTTGATTTCTCTGAGACTTTTGCACCGGTTGCAAGAATGGACACAATCAAGATGCTACTAGCTGTGTCAGCTCAGCATGGATGGAAGGTGTGAAGTCAACATTCCTAAATGGAGTGTTAGAAGAAAAGATCTATGTTGAGCAACCAGACAGGTCCATCACACCAGGAAAAGAGCAGAAGGTTTATTTACTGAAGAAGGCTCTCTATGGGTTGAAGCAAACTCCTAGGGCATGGTACAGCAAGATGGACGATCACTTGTTGAGCTTGGGTTTTGTGAAGAGTCAAAGTGAATCTACACTCTATGTGAAGAAATCAGGTACTGTTATTGTGATTATATCTCATTATGTAGATGACTTGCTGGTGACATTAAGTGATAATAATCAGATAGAGGTGTTCAAGCAAGAAATGATGAAGGTGTTCGAGATGACCAATCTAGGTCTGATTCATTACTTCATTGGCATGGAGATTCAGCAAGGGCAAAATGAAGTGTTTCTCTGCTAGAAGAAATACATGAGAGAGATATTGAAGAGGTTCAATATGGAGGAGTGTAAGAGTGTGAACACTCCGATGATTCAGAAGGAGAAGTTGCAGAAGGATGATGGAGAGGAACCTGCAGACGAGAATGTGTACAGAAGTCTAGTTGGATGTCTCATGTATCTCACATCCACTAGGCCTGACATCATGTACACTGTAAGTGTCTTATCTAGATTTCTTCACTGTGCAAGCAAGAATCATATGGTTGCTGGAAAGAGGGTTTTGAGATATCTTAAAGGCACACTATCTTTTGGGATCAAATACAGTAAAGTTGAAAATTTTGAGTTGCAGGGTTACTCAGATAGTGATTGGGCTGGGTCATTAGATGATATGAAGAGCACCTCTGGCTATTGTTTCACTTTTGGCTCAGGGTGTTTCTCATGGTGTTCAAAAAAACAAGATATAGCGGCTCAGTCAACTGCAGAATCTGAGTTCATTGTAGCAACAGCAGCCGTCAACCAAGCTGTTTGGTTGAAGAAGTTGATGCGTGACTTGCATCTAAAGCAAGGAGAGAGTGTGAAGGTGTTTGTGGATAATCAAGCCACTCAGAAGGAAGGAGAAGTTCAGTTGATGCATTGCAGCTCAGAGGAGCAAATAACAGATATCTTCACTAAGTCCTTTAGTGTGGGTCGTTTTCAAACTCTTAGGAGCAAGTTGGGTGTTTGTAGTATTTGAGTTAGGAGGGGAAGTAAGTTAACTCAAATTGCAATTTTGATTCTTTTTAGTTTTTGAAAAGTCCTAGTTTCTAGGAAGTTGTTAGCATCATTAAATGAAACCTACACTTCCCCACTTTCTCATTTCTCATTTCTCTCTCAATAAGCCAACAAAAAAGCTCTGCTTCGAACTTTAGCCCTTTCGAGTTGGACACGAGGCGACAACCTCTGACACCCCACACCATTGCGGCTGGAGGGATGACCAATTGTAAACCCATGACGACAGCTATGAGAGAGCGACACCCTTCTGGAAGATCACTCCAAGAAAATGCAAAAGACTAGGTCCTATTCGAATTGAAACGGCAATTGTGAAGGTATGGAAAAAAAATAGGGCTGCTGTATTGTGTCCTAAAATATTGGGATTTGGCATCCTAAACGGGMATTTTTAGACAAAAGTGTTAAACTTAACCTATTTGTGCCATTAGTATTATGGGTTAGTTGTGTACCCAAGCCTTTAAGCTATCAACTGCTTAATGAGAGTGAAATCCAAACTCGAAAGTATCTCCATTCTCCATGCTGTTTTCGTTTTTATTTTCTAATCTTATTGCTCTCTCTCTCCATGGATTTCTTGTGACCTAGATATCTTCATCCTCAAAAACTACAAAATCAATAATCCAACAGAAACAAAACTGAGAAGAAAATTACAAGCGAATTAATTTTCTGCAAAAACCCGAAAACAATTTAGTTTCTCAACTTTAGAAGGCCAAAATTGGCAAAATTCATCACTGCAACAACCTGACCGAATAACATTAAACTTCATCACACTGATTCATGGAATATGAATCAGATTATTTCATAATTCAATAGCAGAGATTTACACGTATAAATTTCGTTCATATCATCGAGATCAACAACTAAGAGGAGGAAGATCAGACGCGGCGGTGGATTGCTTGAAAAATCTACTCCCAAAGAAGAAGAATCCAAGGCAATGGCCGCCGACGGCCACGAGAAACACTCCTACATTGAACGACATGACGGCGAGCATCACTAAATAGCCCAATCCAATCCTAACCGTGTGTAACAGAGTCCGGATCAGACCGGCCGCCGCGGCGCTCGAATCCTCCTTGATCAATCTGGAATGCGAGAGCCACTCGATGAGGAAAGCGAGAGTGAAGACGAAGACCAAGGCCAAGGCGTACGCTCCTCCGCCGCGAGCGCCGGGCCAGCGGCGGAACAGAATCTCGGCGTGCGTTCCCCAAAAGAAGCTCATGTGCATCATCATTTTGTGGTGCATGGGTGGCGGCGCCGCCATGCCAGGCATGTTGTTGTCGCCGGAGTTCATGGCCGGGCGTTTGCAGCCGTGGGATTGGGACTACTTGAAAATTTGTATTACGACTCAACGCTGAACTACTTGAAAATTTAAATGACTATTTATAGATATATAATTATTAATTTTGTCAAAAATAATTTTAGTCATCTAACGATTTAGTCCCTACAGTAATAATTTAGTTCCCGACTTTTAGTTTATAACGATTTATTCCCATGGTTTGAAATTCGTAACAATTTATTCCCTAAAAATCTTATCAAAATTAAATGTAAAGTTTTTATCATATAACAATTTAATTTTCGTAATTTTTAAATATATTTGGTACCCAAGAAATAGTTTTGATGATTTGGGACTTCAAGAAATATTCTTGAGATCTTTGGTTCAAGTCACAAACCAAATATAGGGGCATAAATACTTAAAAAACCAAAGGGTCGTGACTCCTCAGTAATAAAAATATATATATATATTGTATAGATAAGAAACTTAACCTAAATTGTTAGAAATAAAGTTGAGCAAAAGCCTAACGACCAAAAGTGTTGTTAATCCATAATATTTTATTTCTTATTTCTTAGTTTTGACAGCTGACCTATAATATTTTTAGGAGCAACAACTTTAATCATTCCTTAAAATAAATTAAGAGAAACCACATTTTTAATTTTCTTTCTTAAAAGGAAATTAAAATATTAATTTTAAAAACAACATTAACCATTAAATCCAAGTGGGATTACAATGAAACGAAAGGGATGAAAAATCTATCAAAACTAGAATCGGAGTAGAGAGAAGATTTAAACAAAGGTAAGGTTACGATACTCAAATGAACCTAATAAAGTCAACTGAAATCTTGGAAGTTTGTTTGTGTTCAAATAAATTAAATTCATATGGTGATTTGTAGTTTTCTTAAATTAGGTTCGATTCAAACGTATCAACTTGAATTTGTTAACCGTATACAAATATATATTTCACATGTAATTGTTGTGATTATTATTATTATTATTATTATTATTTCTTTTTATAAAGGAAAACTAAAACATCAAGATACGAGTTGGATCCTCATCTCACATGTTGTACTAAAATAATGGAAGTTCTATTCGAAGATTTTCTTAGATGAACATTTTTAAGGATATGATTGATCACTGTGCTCTTCTGGGGATATATTTGGAAATGCCTAGACCGTTTTCTGATGAAAGCTGAGATGAATCAGCTTTGTGCCTATTTTGAGGTTCATAACCTACAATTGTTAGCCTCAGATCATAGGCCTGGTGTGGAATTGGTGGCGAATCAATTACGGTATGAGGAGGAAGCCTCATTATGAATTGTGTTGAGTCTGTTAGGTTCTCAATTCTCTTAAACACTACATTTAGTGGCTCAAGCGATCTCGACACATACTATGAGTTGCTTTAAACTCCCCACAAGATCATGCAATGAAGTTAACTCTCTAAATGGGAAGTTCTGGTGGGGCTCCAATGACAAAGAAAAGAAAATTCACTGGAGAAGCTATAAGAAAATGTGCATAATCAAAGAGCAAGGGGGCATGGGTTTCATAGATATAAATATATTCAACCAGGCCATATCGGGTAAACAGAGTTGGGGAATCTCAAAACAACTCGAGAGTCTTTTGGCCAGAATTCTAAAAGAAAAGTATTACAAAAGTATTGGTAATTTTATGAGAGCAGAGATAGGTAAAAATTCATCCTATGTGTGGAAAAGTATCATGTGTGGCAAGGAATTTTTTGATAAAGGTAACAGTTGGAGAATTAGAAATGGCTCGTCGGTGACGATAGCGTGTGACTCGTGGCTCCCAGGAGAACGAAATAGTCGTCGTTTCCAAGTTGAAGCTCTTTAAGTAACTACAATGTTGCATTCCTATTAAGGGAGAGAGGGGTATGTAATGAAGGCCTAATTAGAGATCACTTTACTGAACAGGATGGTGAAACTATTCTGAATATACCATTACCAAAACAGTGCCGAGAGGATGAGATGGTTTGGAACTTTGACAACAAGGGCATTTTCAGTGTCAAAAAATGCCTACCGACTGGGAATGGAGATAGATAATTCAAGCTCAACCTCTACATCAAACAAGGAGTACAATTAGAAAACTTTCTGGAAACAAAAATTTGTTGCTGGAAGCTCTATCATGATATTATTCCGACTAAAACAAACACTAGCAAAAAAAGAATAACTACTAATCTCCTCTGCAATTTATGAGGAAAAAGGAGGAGACAATAGAACATCTTCTATGGGACTGCAAGGTAAGGAGAAACATTTGGGCCAACTATATTCCTACTTATTCAATGTATTATGCTTTGAACAGATCTACCTGGGAGTCCCAAGACTATTGGAGCTCGTTGTTAGAAAGGACCACTGAAGAGGATTCATAAAAAAACATGATAATAGCTTCACAAATTTGGGAGCACAGAAACAGCAATTTTCAGGGGTGAATCTCCAAGCAAGTAGGACATTTGCAATATTCCATAGACAAATTCATAGCAGAAAGTTCACAAATGCGTCCAGATTCGTCCAAAACTGAAGATTCAAAAGCTAAAACTCAGTACCATACTCTAATCAAGCGGGACGAAGATAACGACAGCACAGAAACCAATTGCAGGATACTGCGAAACGAGAGTCAAAAGGACTGTGAAAACCCTTGAGCTAATGGCAATTTGGGAAAGGGTTACATTCAATTTCCATGAATCCTATCTATTTAGAATCAGATTCTCTGGAAGCAATTAGATTAATCAAGAATCAAGATACCGACCTAACCGAGATTTGCTGGTTGGTGGAGGAGAATCACGTTCTTGAAATCAACCACATCAGAAGGGAGAAGAGCCGAAGATGGCGATGGAAAGAGGCGAAGAGATGGATTCCCCAATTGGCTTAATGATGTAATAGATACTGATGCTTTGTTTTTTTAGTTTTATTTCGGTTTCTGCTAAAAAAAACAATTTATTTTATTAAAATTGTAATTAATTTATTTTAGTATTTAATTAATTATAAGATAACATAAACTAAAAATATATATTACGTGTGCATGGTAATAAAACTAATTCAAAAATGACCCTAAAGAAAATCTTGAAGAGTAAACCGTTGGGTTTGTAAATCTTAGAGAATAGATAATTGTTGGAATTTCGTTGGCAAGTTTATGTGCATAAACACCTTAAATTTAGTGTGTATTGATTCTGTTTTAGGTTGCAAATAATCTGTTTAACGAGAAAATGATTCTGTAATTCATATAAAATCATAAAAATTGGTATTACATCTTGGTATTATCTTTATTGTGTAATATGCGTTCTTTATTGCCTAAAATTGCCTAAAAGGTATATTATTTTGAATCTTATAGTATTATGAATTATTCCGTAAATTCTTGTCAATATTATGAAATTTGTTAGAATAATATTCGAGATACTTGTCCATCCTTAATTTTTTGTAGGATGGGTACTAAATTTGAAGTGGAGCATTTTGATGGGAAATGATACTTCGATCTCTAGAAAGTCAAAATGATGGTCGTGTTGAGACAACATAAAGTCGACTATGTCCTTATGGATCCAAAGAAGATTCCAGCGAGTGTCAGCAAGGACGAAGATGATCTTAAAGAAATGGATAGGGTGGCACGTGGCTTGATCATACTCCACTTGGCAGTAGTATCATATGCCAAATGCGTAGTAAGGACACAACAAGTAAGTTTTGGAAAGGTTAGAAGATATACATATCAAGTAGCATTCATTTCTAATAAAATCTAGGTTCTTTAATTTTAAAATGGAAACTAATAAAAGCATGAAAGATAACCTAGATGAATTTAATAAAATAATATATGAAATGGAGAATATTGGCGAAACCTTTTCTGATGAAAATCATTGATAGTGTACTAGGTGAGCGACATTTCATGAGGTTTTATTGAAATTATTTATCAATTTTCATGAAAGATTTACGTACATAAGTCATATTTTGCAGGAATGAGTAATTGAGAGAGAATGAGACGTATTTGGATCAAAGTAAGAGAAAAATCATAGCCCAAGGAAGAAAAGAAGACACTTTAGTGCTAGTTGGAGCCAAGATCGCGAGGGGACAGTGTTGAGACGCATCTCAACGCCATCAAGATGTAGCCAAGCCATATCACCCAAGAGGGCAGCGTCGCAACATTACGAACACTGATGTTGTACGTGCAAACAAATTCGGAGTGTCTCAACTCTATCCTGACCGTCTCAACGCTCAAGTCGCGATATTATAAAAACATCATTTAGCCACCGCCAAATGGACTTTTTGGACAATTTTGAATGGGAGATTTGAGAATTTTAGAGGATCAGTTCGGGAACTTAAGCTTGGAGGGTGAAGAAACTGTTTATCAAGGCTTCAGATTGTGGAGATTAAGTCTGGGACGATCAATCGACACAATGGATTTATTTTCTCTCATTTCCCTTAACTTTTTTAGTTTGATTATGAACTTCTCATTGGAATTTTACTGTATTTTATTGAACACGAGTAGCTAAATTTCTTGTTCTTAGGATTGACGTAGCAGTTGGATCTATGAGTTAGATTAATTAATTATTGCCTTAATTGATTTGTTTTTAATCTATTTCTGCAGTTATTTTCTTAATGCCTTTAATTTCTTAATCACAGATTAATTGATGCTAAATCTAAATCTTACGCTCGGGTGAGGTGATTTAGATTGTAACTTGAATGCATGACTGTGGTAGTTCTAAGATCGAAAAATTTAGAATTACTTTTGAGGTTGTTAAAAGAATTAGACTTAAGGCTTGCTTATTAATGAAACTAGATAGGCATATTGGTTTCTTAAAAGGTAGGAGAATTAATTGTGCTTGGGAGGGACGATTATGATTTGTGATTTCTTGACCTATAGATTAATTGCATATTTAATCTTGACTTGTTTAATTTGTCTGCTTGTAAATTCAATTGGTGAAGTTAATTTCCTATGACCCGTTCTCCATAAATGATCTCCTTAGACTTTATTAATCACTTTGTCCTTTATTATTTGTGTTTAAAACACCATTGTTATTTCTCTAAATAAAATTGGGCATCAGTATTGGTGGTACTTGAATGGACTATAAACCTAATCCAGTGGACGATATTGGTATTTACATACCATTTTTATTACAACTTGACTCGTATACTTGCGGTAAGTAATTTCTACTACAATCGTGCAATTATTCTGGTAAATTCTTTGTCTGATAGTTATAATGCTATTAAGTCTACAATGAAGTATGATAGAGATGATATGACATATGCTATCATGATAAATGCTATTAAAATGAAAGAGTTAGAATTAAAGAATAGTAAAAAGAATAACAACGAGTCTTTATTTGCTAATGAGAGATCAAATAAGAAGAAATCTCATAATAGGAGAAGTAGAAATAGATCGAAGTCTAAGGGGCCTAGTAATAAGAGGTGTTATAACTGTAATAAAGAAGACTATATGAGAAGGTCTTGTTCTAATTTTAGAAAAAATGGTGATAGTAACCAAAACCAAAACGGTAAGAGAAATGAAGATAATAACGGAGTCAACCTTAGTGAGGAGTATGCAGATTATGACCATATCCTTATGGTGGGTGAGCCTAATGAGGATGATACTTGGATTCTAGACTCAAGATATTCTTTCCATATCACACCAAATAGGGATTGGTTAGGGAACTTTTAAACCGGTATGGTGGGTAATGTTACTGTATTTTGTGATAGTCAAAGTGTCATTCACTTGTCTAAAAATCATTCTCATCCCGAAAGAACTAAACATATTGATGTTAGATACCACTTTATTAGAGATATTATCAATAATGATTTGGTTTTTATTAAAAAGATATCAACTGATTTAAATGCAGCTGATATATTTACTAAGGCATTGCCTTGTGATACATTTAACCTATGTGTGAGAATGTTACAGCTTGATATAGGCCGAAGGTGTTGGTTGTTTATGGCAGTGGGCTTTCTTTTGGTTTCATAAAATTATGAAATCAAGGTGGCGATTGTTAGTATATTTTGTTTAATAATTTATTTTTAATATTTGTTTATTAAGACTTTGTTTTTAATACCACCATATTTGTTTAGTTGAGTTTTTTTTAATATTTTTAAATGGCCAAATCTTTCGTAAGACCAACCAATTTTTTAATTTTCTAATCCTAACATATAAATAGGGATAACAACATATATAGTCATTTAAAATAGGCAATGTCAAAAGATGGCAAAACAGTTTTCAATAATGGCCAACGTAATAATAGGAAAATATCTATTAACTTTTTAGTTACGAAATTATCCTCTCTAAAATGATTTTAAAATGAATATATTATTTTCCCTTTTTAACTCTTTCCCCTTTAATTCCTTCAACATTTCCTTTGGGATTTCTTATTAACCCAACTAGATTATTATAGTCAAGGTTTACCCATCTTGGGGTGACCTCCATCCTAGCATAAGRACTTTGGCAGATTCTCCTCATCATGCATCCCCAGAGAGTGGCCACAATCCTTGCTTCACTTAAGTTCGGTATATTTGATGAGAACAATAGTCTAAAGAACCTTGCTCTGAAAGACCCGTGATTCTCTGCCGAATAGGGCAGTCTGTTCGTAATCATAACGTTGGGTACGTTCTTTTTCTTCTTTTAAACCCTGGAATACTTTTTTTCTAGTTGACATTTTTTTCGAAATCAAAGGAGAATCCTACCTATATTTTTCTCTACCAACTTTATAGGATAATTCAAATATTTTTAAAATCTTACCTAATTCAAATATTTTCCCAATAAATTTTAGGAGAATTATACTAACAAATCTAAAATATATATATATATATATATATATATATATATTCATTAAACAATAAAATTATTATCGAAAATGATACAAAAAATCTTAAATAATATATAATAAACGTCAATAAACAAAATTTAATTAGAAACACAAATACTAAGACCCAAAATAATGTAGTTAGAAACAGAAATACTAAGACCCAAAACAAATAGATGAACACGACGAACAGAGGAACAAATGACAAATACGTCGAATAGAGGAACAAATATGGTGAACATAAACAAATACGGGGAACAGAGGAACAAACAAATACGATGAATAGAGGAACAAACAAATACGGTGAACAGAGGTACAAATAAGGTGAACATATAATGTAAGAAATAAGGTGTATTTCTATGAACAACTAATACAAAAAAAATATATATATAAAGCACTCTACTTACACAATCTGTAGAAACTCAACATATAGGTCTCAGTCTCCTCCGCCACCCACCGCCCAACTTGCAACAAGCTCTATCACCCACCGCATTGCCCCACTGTTGTTCCCTCACCTAACAAGATCTTCTTTCTTCCTTGCTGGATTTATACTATCTCCATTTCTCCCCTCTCCCCCCGCTCCGATCATCTCTCCATGATCTTTTTCGGTATGATGTCTCCTGGTAAGTTTTGTCTCCACGTATATATCAAGCAATAGTGGTTAGAAAAAAAAACTAGAATTAAGGAGGAATAGAATATAAGAAAGATAATGGAAGTTAGGATATTTTATTTTAAAAATAATAACCAAATAAGAAAGAGTAGAAGTGTCAAAATCAAACCTGCAAAATAGTTAGAAAAATACTAATGGATATTTTTAATTATCAAATATTATTTGGCCATTTTTCAAAATCGAATGATGAATAGGGACACCTATTGTAAATTCTCATATAAATACATCCTTATCTTTTGTTCTAAACCCTTAAGATAGAAAACAAAAGAATAGAGAAGACAGAGCCACAAAAGGAGAGAGGGAGAGTGTTGAGGTGTTGCAGTCGTCGCACTCGTCGTCCGTCGTTGTCAATCGCTCATCTCAGCCATCTGTTGCTGGATGCCGCTAGAAGCCGCTGCCGTCACACCGTCGAGA